AGCTCCGCCTCACGCTTCATTCAAGAAAAGGGGGAAATGGGGAGGGGGAAAGCAGGGAGGGTGTTCAAAAAAAAAAAAAAAAAAGGAAAAGAAAAGAAAAGGCCAGGGCCCGCCTCCATCGCGGCGCGGGGCGACCGCCAGCAGCACCCCGAGCAGCCCCCTCCCGCAGCGGGAAACCGGGCGGCGGAGCCGCGGGCGGCACCGAGTGGGACGGGAATGGAGGTACTGAGCACCTCTCTGCGCTTCTCGTGGGGAGAGCAGTCGGGCGGAGGAGTCCGATGAAGGCCACCCGTTTGGCTCTTAAAGCCTGCCTGAAGGCGACGGGGATGGCGACCCCCTCTCCGAACCACGGCGCAGCTCCCCGGGCGCCAGGCCGGGCCCTGCGCACCGGGGCAGCGCCTGCACCTCCTGCTTCCCTTCTCCCCCCGCGGGTGCTGGGTGCTCCGCGGCTCCGCTGGGGCCCGTGCGCTGCTGTTGCCCCCCAGCGGCCGCCCCCCGCCCCTCCCCCGCCCCGTTACTTCCCGGGCCGAAGGCTGCGGCCCACCCAAGCACGGGTACAGCAAACTTCACCAGACAGATACTCCCTTTGGAATAGATTGAGTAAGGATGCTTTGTCCTCACTGGCTCAGCACTTCCCTCTGGCAGTGACAGATCCCGGCCTTGTGAGAGGGCTAATGAGAAAATAGCCGTCACAGTTTGCTAATGCCAAACACAGCTGAGACTGCCTCAAGAGAAAACCCTAGGAACTGCTTACTTGAAGCAGTTGGATGAGTCATGGGAAACAAACTGTGCCTTGAAGAATGACAAAGTGGACTCTGTAAAAAAAAGTAGCAAAACATGATGATGTACAGTGCAAGTCCTTTTGTTCTCCATGTGGTAAACGGGTTGCATCTGACCTGCCTTAAAAGCACTGACAATGCCACCAGACTGGGCCATGAGCATCCACTAAAGTCTCACAGGTTTGCATTATCGTGCTGACTCTTACCTTGTTTGTCTGCTGGATAAAGCAACAGCAAAACTACAGCAAAACTACAGCCAAAGACAGTAAGCAGAGTAAATCATCATGAGAGGCTCAGGATTTAACAAGGAAAGTGGAACAAATACATAAAGTCAGTCAGGGAATCACTGCTGTGTTTTTAGGTATCCCAGAGGCAGAAGCACCCACACCAGGCCTCAGCCAGGGCAGAGCAATGGTGAGGTACCCTTCTTACCTGCACTTGGGCAGGATCCTGCAAAGCTGTGCTGTTCCCTGAGAGCCTCCCAGAAATATATCTAAGGACTGTAAAAAAGAAGGCTCTTGTTGTGAAGAGTGGTGAAGCACAAGAACAGGTTGCCCAGAGGGGTGGTAGATGGTCTCTGGAGACACTCAAGGTCAGGCTGGATGGGGCTCTGAGCAACCTGACTCACTGTAGGCGTTCCTGTTCATTGCAGAGGAGCTGGACTAGATGGCCTTTAAGGGTCTCTTCCAACTCAATTCCATGATTTCTTAATGGCCAATTTCTTAATGGCAGGGCCATTGCCTGACCATCTGCAAGAGGACACCTTTTCCCATCATGCTTGTATAACATCAGCAGGACCTGAGCAGCAGCTCCAGTTCCTGGTAACCTGCCACCTCTTATTCCCTTTGCTTGTGGGCAACCAAGTTGCACAGAAGCGAGCAAATGCTGAAAGGACTGCCCAGGATGCATGTCATGGGCATGAATGGGGTGATACATTGCTCTATGACAGGACTCAACATGAATAAGGACACTGCAACATCTCCCACTGTGAATGTGCAGACTTTCTATTCACAGACAGATGATAACTTACGGAAGAAAAAAATACATATATCTGAGTAACCCCAAAGTAGAATTCAGTGTGGTAAAGGTAAATACAATGAAGACAACCAGAGAGGTCCTTTGCTTCATGGTGTTCTAGCACAGCTTAAATATGTCTTTCTCTCAGTAAAGCCCACTTGGAATTCACAAGCAGTCTGCACCTATGAAAACCACTGGGCTGCTCCTCACAGTCAGGGGCACCGTAAATGCTACCAGAGGTACCTGTGCCACCCACAGCCTCACCTGTGCTCTGTTCAAGACATTCAGTGCTTCTCCTTATGCCAGCCTGTTCACTCTGCATGCCCTTGTGCTTGCAAGAACTGCTTGTTCTACCACACAAACCTGCCCTGACTCAAAGTAGTTATTGACCAAAGTATCTATTGACTAATGTACGCGACCTCACATATTTGTTTCTGTCCACAAGACCATGACATCCACAGATCTATGATACCTTCACCAAACTGAAAAAAAAGCCTTGAAAAGAATGCTCTTTTAGTGCCTGGCATACATGCATTTGCCTGCTCTCAGTGTCACACCGTTTATTATACTGATGCCTCATCTATTTGGCTCCAAGTGTTGCCTTAACAGCATCAGCCAGCAGCAGCCAGGATTTACAGTATAAAATGCTTTCTGAAAAAAGTATACAAAAAAAAAAAAAAAGCATTGACAAAACTTAGATGTGTTTTCCTCATTCTTAACCAGGACAGGGGCAGGTTAACTGGAACAAATGAGCACTTCTTCAGAGCACATTCCTGAAACAGGAGATTGTCTTTCATCCTCCCAGTCTTGCAAATGCTACAGGTGTGGAGTGGATCCTTCTTGCCTGAAGTGCTTGCAAAGCACAGAATGCTACTGTAAGAAGTTTGAAGCCTGCTCAACCTACAATTAGGGTTTACTTCATGGGGCCTTAATTGTGCTTTCCAGGAAGGGCAGCAGCACGAGACGCTTAGATAGCATCCAGCAGATCCAAATAGCAAACAGCTCCTGACTTTCAGCTCCTTTTACTGTACTTATCCCTCAGCCACCCTTCCTTCTGTTCAAGATTAAAGGCAAGAGGGAGACAGAATGGCTGCGCCCACCTCAAGCTGACAGGCACCATGAGCACCTGTGGAAAACCTCCTCCTTGACACCTGCCCTTCATACACAGCAGCAGGGTCTTGTCTTAACAATATCAGAGCCATCCCCCCACCTGGTGCAAACTGCCAAAAACATTCTTGCCACTTCTCTTTCCGCTATGGAAAGAGAATCAAAAAACAATTTGCCCAGTCAAAACAGTAGAAGCATTTCTCCGTTTCAGCACAAAGGTTTGGGAAATGAGAAGAACGTGCCGGACAAATGGGAACTTTCATCTCATTAACTTTTTAATTACTTCTACAATTTTCTCAAAGCTTAAACAAACAAAGAATTGATTATTTGATTAAATATCTTGGAAAATTAAAAAAAAAAAAAAGACCAACTCACCTCATTTTCGTTACTTTCTTCAAATCAGCTTTAAAAAGCATATTTCCCTAGCAAGTAAACGGCAAGCTGCCTAAAGCATTTCCATTTCTTTTGAGACTTGTTGTTAAACACTGTTTACAGCTGTTATCTTTACAGATTTAACTCCTTACTTTGACCAAAGAAATCGCTTCTCAGTGCTTGGTAGCATGATAGTATTAGGCATTTTGTTTTACCCCCTTGCATTTATTTATATTTCTCTAGCAGCACAGAATGCGCTCCTAGATAGAACTAACTCAAAAGGTTTAAAATTAACTTGGGGATTTCCCCCTCAGCTGAAAACAATCTTGTTTTCAGCTTTGAAAAATAAAATCTCAGACTGCCTTGGTGGCACTGCACCATGAAGCAGGTTTGATGCTACAATCCTCATTCAGGATTCCACCAAAAACAAGACTTCCCAAGCTAGCTTTTGTTCTTCTTTTTCCCTTTTAACTCTGACAAGCAATATTTGGATTAAAAAAACACCACCACTTTATTTCTGTGCAAGCTTCTGTTCAAGAAGCAAATAGCATTATTTCACCTCCTCCCAGCCCACAACATGCAGATGACCAAAGTCTTCTTTCACTGCTTTAGTGCATTGGGGTTGAAAAGCAAGGAAATAAAAGAGGATGGGAGGTGTGGCTCCAAAGGAGACACCTCATTTAAAAGGTTCTGGTCTCATGAGAGTCTCCCCCAAGTGACAGAGGAAAGCAAGCGACTGAAGGTTTTGCTGTCAGCTCTGGAAGGACACCCACCTACTTGAGTGTGCCTGGTACTATCCCTGTGTGAAAGCAAACCAAAAAACAACCCTACCCAGGTAGTTTAGCCTCTTAGCTGAAATCAGTTTTTGTTTGCTGTTTTATTTAATTTTTAAAAAATGCTATGTATTTTCGTTTCCAAAAATGCCTACAGGAATGAAGAGCAATCTACTTCGCCTGCTAATTCTACTGAAAAGGAAAAACATCAGCAGCTCCCAATGCAATATGGCTGCCTCCCGTTACAAAACTTCTCATTACCTAATGAACACCCTCAGCCCCTTAGGCCCCCTCAGCTTTAAAACATTTTACATAGCATACCTCCCTTTACCCATTATTGATTTTGGAGGATAAATCAGCAAGAATGGCTTTCTGAAAGACTGAATTTCTGTGATCCTGGATTTGACAGTAGCCATCTTCAGGGTATTTCCCCATGACTAGTATTATCTTGGAGTTAGCCTTTCTCTCAAGCTGAAAGATAGTACAATAACTTTATACACAGGATCATGTTCAACTGTGTCTCAGAAGGACAGCCACCCTAACCTTGTTCATTCCTGTTCTTTCCCACTAGAAAGAACGAGCACCGCTTGGCTCATCAGAATTCACGGTCGCTTCCAGAAAGCACAAGTACTAGTTAAGTTCTGGAAGCAATCCTACAATAAAAGCAGATTTTATCAATTTAATGCCACTTTCCAATATCAATTTAGTGTCATACCTATGTTTGATGACACTACTGAATGGAGCACCTTACATCTTCCCCCATTTGCTGCACACCTCTGCCTGGGCTGCCAAAGCAAGGGGGAGATGCATTGCCCCCCTGCTCTTCTACAAAATTAACAGGATCCTGCTGAATTAATCCCAGATTAAAAAAAGAAAACCGCCAAGCCTTGCAAATGAATGTACCTACTGCTCTTCATCCCTTCAAAGAACTTCAGAGCTACACGTTTTGTTGATCCTCCGTTTATTTTGAGAAATATAAAATCTGAAAACTAGTTTACAGTTCTGGCACAAAATAGATGAAGCAATAAGCACAATTTTTTTTTTTTTTTTTTAAACAAATAGTACTATGTATTTTTACCACTTAAAAGTGCCTCAAGTTTTTCACAGCAAATAAAGTTTACCTATATCTTTTGTCTTAGTAAAATATTAAATCCATTTAAATTGCACATGAACACCTTGGTAAAGTTATAATAAATCTGTGTTTAAAGCAGACGGTCATTAGAAACTACACAGAATAGAGAAGACTATCAAAGTCCAAAGTGAATCTTAAAGACTGACCAGGAAAACAAGAGACAAGACACTGCCTGATATGGCACAAGTGATTAAATTACTGACAGCTTTACAAAATGGTAGTTGCATCTATTTGAAGTTCCTCGTGGATTTAATACACTGCTAAAATGCTTCGATGCAGAGGTTCTGTAACATTTAAAGTAGCAAAAAAAAAAAAAATATATATATATATATGTATTTTTTACTCAAACATTATTCCACAAGATTACAAGGCATCTCCTTCACTTAATATTGGACCTTAAAATGAGTATGATCGTAGATTTAGAACGGAGATAAGAGAAAGTTTACATTAAAGGCTGCTGCATTTGACAACAAACTCCATTTTGACAGTAAAACAGCTGGAAAGTTTATCAGTTAAAATGAACCATACGAATGTGCAACAACAGAAGCTGGAACATTCAGAAAGATTATTCTTTACTTGTTTCTTTTCAAAGTTTGCCTGCTTCACATTTCTAGAATTGCTGAGGGGATGCAACCTACAATTTTACAGCCAATACAACTTCTTGCAATATGGAAAAACAGGTGTGAACTGAAGCACCTTTAACTCAGGGCCCTAACTTTCACCCAGTATTCCTCTTCACAAACAGTCCTGCTGAACTACAATCAGTCATTATTTGGAGCATTCTTCAGTCAAGATTTTCAGAAAAGTGACTGGTGATTTAAGATGCCCAACCCGAAATATTCTTAAGAGGCCCAGTTATCACAGTACGTGCACTCTAATCTTCTGAATTATTTCTCAAATGCAAGCCTTTTAATATCCCAAGTTGAAGATCCTATAAAATTCAAGTATCTGAAGTCTTATTGGTTTCAAGACTTGACCTTCAAAGCTTGTGTTGCTCTAAAGTCATTTGCAGAAGCAAATATCTTCCAAACTACCGCATAACCAATTCACCCACTTTGGTATCATTTTGCAAATGATCAAAGGAACATTTGATTTTTGCACCAGGATAACAACTAATGTAGATAACTGGGTCCAAATAGCATTGTTATGTTGCTTTAAGAAACATGGCAATATTGACAATGTATGAGAAATGCTCCACTATGTGTCATTCACATTAAACAGCACAGAAAACACAAATGCAGACTAGATTTCTCTGCACTGAAGCCCAGCTGATTAAAAAAATGCAGGAATATAGTGTACTCTCAAAATTAATTGTATAATATAGGCATGCACAACTTCACATATCTAAAGAAAATCAAGAGGCAGGACCTAAAACACAGGCTTTAGGAAGTATTCTGCAATGCCTTAACGTTTGCAATCCAATGAAATTCTAACCACTGTGAATGAGAGCACCAGTGTGACTCCTCCAAATACATTTGTAAAACAGACATTAAAGCAAGTTTAGCCTACGTGAACAAAAGTTTTTGAAGAGATCAACTGAAATCAGAGGGAGAACAACCAAGTTACATTTCTAAGACTTTCCCCTGTTAACCACCTATTCTTTCTCATCTCAGCTTAACTGAATACCCGTTCTTAAATAGGTATACAGAACATCTTAAAAACAATCAATTTCGCTTGCTTTGCTCTTAAATACTACTTTCAAGGAAGTGAAAACGCCGAGTCTTAACAGTAGTTTTAGGTTCAGAGTACTGACTGAAATGGCAGATCTGACATTTACAACACACTGGCGCTAATAAATACAAAATACACAGCTTTTGGGAAAAAAAGCTCACAAGGCACTTGCTATAGTGGTCCATTAAATAAACAGTGTATATAGTGCACCCTTAAAACATCACTGTTATGCATCAAGCTTTTCCAGTGTTAAACTTGCAATTTATTAGAAAAAAAAACAAAACATTGTGTTCTGTGTATTCTGAAGCAGTTATGGAGCAGTCTTGATTCATATATAATGTAAATCAAGCAAATGAGGAGAGGGACAGAGGAGAGAATTTTAAATAATTTCTTGTTGTGTTAGAAGTTTTTCTGTGTAACAAACAAATTAAGCACAGATACCATTCTGATTCTCCTCCCTGCCCCCTGTCCCAAAAGCTACATTCCTGCTACCCTAAGAGCCCAGCGTCCGAGTCTATCATCACCTACTGGTGTGGCTCATCATTTGTGGCTTTGAAAAATAATGTGCATGACAGTAGCATGAAGCTACTTCCCTTTCCAGAGCAAAAACTGGCAGATAAGAAGAGTGTATAACTTTGACAAATACTTTTCCAATGATTTAAAATGTTGAAAGACATGATCACTCTTGAAAATAGTTTGATTTTTTTTTTTTTGTTCACAGCATACTTCAAGGGCCAGTTACACCTCCTAGCATTTCTCTGTAGGAATGGGTTCTTCATCTCCCTTTAGAAAGTATGCATACATTAAGTCATACTTTTTAATTACTCCCAGACTGAGAAAGCTTAGATTAACCAAAAAAAAAAAATATCTGTCATCTCGAGGTTTCCACAAGTGTGTGCTGAACAGAATAAAGAAAGCTGTCTTTGACTGAAATATCTGTAGATTGGCCATCAAAGGAAAAGTTAACATTCCAAATTAAAAACAGTCCCAAAACATTAGCAAGAGTACTGACTTGTTCAGGGGACTTTAATCTACTTCAGCCCAGTCTGTCATGGTATAGTTATTTTTTTTCCACATAAGCACCAAAGTGAGAAAACCTAAGCATTTGTCCAGAATTACCACACATGGTCCATTCTCACGTTCTACCCTACAGATGACTTACATGTTCCCAAATTCTCTCCAGCTCAAATCACCAAAGGAAAAAAAAAAAAAGCTAATCCTCAATCTCTCTTTTGCATAGCTTGGCATTTTCTGGAGTTAAGCTTCTGTTTTCTTTCATTGCTTTTGAGAGGACTCATCTATCACATAACCAAGTACCTTCAGTCTACATCCTTCAACAGAGAAGCTGAGTCCCACTTGAGCAGCAAGCTGTCCAGGACTGTTTGACATTCTTCTTTCAATTCAATTCAAGATTATTCAGTCTTATCTGTATTTTCAGATTTTTCTCTTTGCATCATGCAGCGTCGAACTATGCTGTCAAAGCTTCCTAGGTAAAAGAGGCCAATGATGCGAAAAATGCCCATGCAAACAACCTGGAAACAGAGAAACATCTTTCAATTCACTTATGACCCTGGATTGTAGCGCATTATTTACTCATGAAGTTCCATACAGGTAATGTAATCAAGAAAAAAAAAAACATATGAAGACATTCTTAACTATGTTCCAGTCCGAGACTGAGCAGTGTGTAGTTATCTCTGCTTTCTTGCCACATTGCTGCTTCAGCTCAAGAACATTGCTCCAGTTTCCTAAATCCAAGCCTCCATGGTATTGACAGCTACTTGATGAAAAAATAATCAATGTTTGCATTATGTTCTACATATTTTAAACTACAAGGAATTGTGACTATGAGGCCTTTGCAAACCTTACCTGCTGAAGACCTTCAGTGATAGAAGTGACTGGTGACATTCCACTTGTCAATATTGATAGCATGTAACCATCTGATCCAACAAAGCTGTTAAAGTTCCCTTGCTGAATGGAAGGAAAACAGTAATTAAGGAAAACGTAATTTACCCAGTTGTGGCAAAACATGACATGCCTTAATTTTACAGCTATTTATAATAATCATACTTAATTTCATGTCACTATGAATGAATACCTCAATGTAAAAAATATGACCACAATTAAGAGCCTATGTTTTAAGAAATATTTTGTACCATACAGCAACATTCTGGAAGACACTCCCTAAAAACAGAGGTGTGATAGATTTCTAAGAATTTCTTTGTATGCTAGAAAGGCTCTATGTTTCTTCTTGAACTATGCCTACCGATAGAGAAAATGCACAACATTCTCCCTGTGAACACGTTTCAGAGAGAATTACACCCTATTTCTGTCAGATCACCAATCACTGCTGTACTCAAAGAATAAAACACTGCTAAACCTTTTTTTTTTTTTTTTTTTTTTTTCCCAAATCAGGTTACTACTGTGTGAGACTTATTGGAGGAGGTGTCCTTCAAACACTGTGCAAAAGGTTCACCTTCACTTATATCAACGGCTTTGATTGGCTGTCCTCAAAACTGCCAAATACACTGCAGAATAAAAGATTCAACTAACAGCAGAAGGGGAGGCTCCCCAGGAGAAAAAGGTGTGGATTTTTTTTTTTTTTTGGGTGGGGGGGGGGACTACTCATCAGAAAAGACTGCAACTCTGTAACTCTGACTCCTGGGCTTCTCCCACTTTATTTTTTTCTCCTAGCAGGTTATGCTGGAAAACAGACTTCCTGACACACTGCACCATGACTGTGGAGCGCAGAAGTGAAAGGGGGGTGGAGGGGTGTTCCTGAATCACAATTATCTATTTAGAGCAGTAGAGGAGATGATATGTGAGTGAAGTACTACCCAGCACACACCTGAGAGAACTGAGTTCCTACAGTCCAAGAACGACCTTTTAGTTTCAATTTTAGTCTCTCAGCTGAGGGTTTGACGGCATAAAGACCACACCTCAACTAATAGACCACCACTGGAAGGAACAGAATAAAAAGATCAGATGCTTATGATTAGAAACCGGATTGGTTGTCCTTAACTACCAGTGCAGAATACCACGTGAGGACATACTGCATTTTGAAAATCACCACCCCAAATCCAGGCGTGGCTTTGCACTTTGCTGCATTTGTGAAGCTATTGTGAAAGTAGCTCAAAACCTTGTTAAAAGTATTGTAATGTAGAATTGTAAAATAATAACAGACAGGATTCAATTGCTGTACTCTAAGGATATTAAATTCCAGTTTTATTTCCACCTCAGAATGTCCTTGCTGTTTGCTTCTTATTTTGTTAAGAAGCAATTTTCAGCACAAATCTCTACAATTCCTAAAAATGCAATGCTCCTTTATAACTAAGAACATCTTACTGTATTCTAATCACTCATAAATCAGATACTTTAGACATTTATAGCCAAAAAGGCTAGACATCTTCCATTTATTTTAAAATCATTTTGATCTAAGCTCATATTCAAGAAAAATTAGACTGTCAAAGAAGCTTTTGAGGTTAGACAAATGGTATTTGATACATAAAAAGCCAATATAGTTCAGTGCTTTGAAACACAGCCATAACCTGCTTTTGAGACATTGTATCATCCCAAGGCAGCCTTTTATTCTAAAGGACAACTTTGGATACATTTTAGTTCAAAAAGATGGCACAAAATCATTTGTGCGCACAGCCGCAAAAGAGGAATAGAAAAAAACTTCCTGCTCAAACTAAGGAGAGCCCACCACTTCTTGTAAATTGATCTTATTTTTAGCTCAATCATGCTCTTAAACAAGCATTACAAGCCATCTTGGTCTCTCCTTTGAAGGTCATACTTTAAGAAATGATTTACTTACTATGGCATCTTTGACTATAACTCTGGCAACTTGTTCCGCTTGGCAAACAGATGAGGTTTCAGAAATGAGCTTTGTCTCTAAGGGCTTTAATAGAAAAATGTCATTAGAAGTTGGACTCAGAACACACAGGAGAGAGAACACGAAGGACAAATTTTGGTTTTGGGTCTTTCAGTGCAGGGGGTGCTGCTTATAAGCGGTACCGTTCTGTCACTTAAAACATCCGCTGAAAAGAAAAAGCACCTTCACAAGTAGCAGTTTTACAGAGAGAGCTGCCAGCTTCTAGGCAGTACTTTCCCCCTTGGAATTTATTACCAACAAAAAAGGAGATGGTGTTCTTTCCAAGTATTTGATTTTCAGAAGGCAGAAAAATGCTTAAGCTATGTCTCCTCAATGCCTCCGTTTTTCCTTTTAATGAATTAAATAATTAAATGCCTTATGAATTTGTTTTGTGGGATTTTACTTTTTTTGTTTGTTTCTCAAACACCACACAGGTACCCACCAAAATCCAACACTGTATTTCACTTTGTGTTTCAGAGCATTTATCTCATTTTACCTTACTAGAAGAAAGCAGCCACAGCAATTTGATCAGTCACAATTTCTTTTACAAAAATAAGTCTGATCTGTTTTAAGAGCAAGCAGTGAAAAGGTTTGAGAAGTATTCAGAAGCTTGTTTGTCATTTATTTGCTTCTATAATGCTGGAGCTAAATGCATGGCAAGCTGTTTGAATGATAAATATATGAAGATAAATGGTTCTGTTGATAAAGAACAAACTGCACTAAATTAGGAAAAGAAGAGTGGTTACAAGTAATTTGTTACAGAGAAGAATTGAATTAGATTTAATGAAGTTGAATGGAAGCATTCAAACTTAGTCAAATACTTAGTATCCATAAAGCATTTTAAGATTAATCCTTTGAAACACACACACTTCTTGAAAATCCCACACTTCTAGGGAAGAAAATTACAGGCTTCTCTCTCAATTTCAATCTGAAGTATCTGTGAAATTGTGAATCCCCATGTGCTGACCAGGCTCACTGGTTTATTTTTTAAACGTGTATTGAGAAAAAAAAGAGTCAGAGTCTTTGGCAGAGGAAATCACACACAAACACCTTTCACCTGCTTTCCTACGGTGGTATAGTCTGTGTCACTAGATCTTCATTTCATAACCCATGCAGAATTTAATTCACTGCCCAGTGTCGACAAAATCCATGAGATACAGATGTCAAAAATCAACTACAGTACTTTAAGTTTTGGAAAAATCAGCAGCTATTTGAGGGCGTCTCACTAAAGTTAATGACATGCTGAGAAAAAGGCAGGCAGAGCTCAACCATCAAACACTCCATCTGATTAGCCAGTCAAAGCACTGTTACAATTTGTCACGCAGTTATCTCAGAAAAAGAGCTTAGTGATTAAACACAAGGAAGAAGCATCCTTGCAGCTGACTTTTTTTGCTTAAACTAACTATGAGCAATGATTACAGAATAAAACAGCTTAGCCTTAATGAGATGCAAACCACAGAAACAGATGTTCTAAACTCAGCAGTACTAAATAAATGCAACCAAAATGAATGACATTCTGAACTGTTAAATGACAGAATATTGCAGTGATTTAAGGTATCAAGGTAGTCACACAACAAAAAGAGTTCATGTGTGCTAAAACGATGCATAAACATGTTTAAAAGACAATGCCTTTTTGATATAAAAAAGCCATATATATACACACACATCACTGATTCCCCTTAAACAGAAATCTGAGATCAACAGAACATTTTGCTGGAGAGTATATTTCCCCGCAGCAGGCTATTATGAAGAAAAGACAAAGAATGTGCAAACTACACAAGCATCTGCAGATGTGTAATTCTTTATGTGGATGTGTGGAAGTATGTTTAATACAGAAGATCTATTACCAAGAAGTTACAAAGAATTGTGTTACACAGTCCCTACTGATTCCTATAGAAAGGGTGAAAGACAAAACAAAACTTAACCTCAATTTCCTATTACACATTATATTAGATGAAGCATCTTAAACGTGGCTAATCTACAAGTACCACTGCATGGTTAGCAGACACATCAGCATAAACAGGGGCTCAAAAGTAGCACTGCCAGCACCCTTTTTTGATATTCCATTTTATGCACAGGAATTTGCCAAGTGATGAGAAGCAACTAAATTTCTGAAGGTCAAAACCTGCTTTAAGCTAAGCTAAATGAAAAAGGCAACCACTGATACACCTCTCTGAAAAAGCAGTAGTGCCAAACAGAATGACAAAGCTTCCTTTCTACGTTAATAGTGGTTGTTCTTGCATATAAAATTGTGCCATAACACGTATTCACATAGAACAGTTGGTTTGCACATCTCAGTGAAGAACTGGAGTTTTCCTTTCATCTGTCAGGACCATCCTAACAGCACAATATCAAAAGGTGCAAAAAAGGTACACTATTGTGGCTCATCAAGCTTTTATATCAAAACAAGTTACAGTGGCTTTAGTTTGCTATTTTGCAACATTCAGATTGCATGCAGAAAAGCTTATTAGTGTTTCAGCTATTAAAGTTAAGCAGTTCTTCCATTTAAAGCCAGAGTAAACTACACTGGACAGCGAAGTTGATAAAAACCAATGTGTTTGATCATTTTAAACATTTTAATATGCACTGTTTCAAGAAGTACTACAGAAGTGAATGATACCTGAAATGCATTGTTTATTATAAAGTACACCTTTTCAACCATTTACCTTTATAACCATTACAGTGTTGCTGAAGGATGATTTACCTTTGTTTTACTTTCTTCTGCAAAGCCTGGTGTGTCAGTATCTGGAGGATAGGCCACTGTTACATAGATATTATAAGGCTTGACCTGCAGTTGACAAAAAAAGAAGTGTTATCTTATTACTAACAGCCTTTACATTTCTCTCATAATTTTGTTAATTTCTCTTAAATTCACGCTTGCTTTATTTCTTCAGATTGCTTGTGGTGTTAAATCATCCACACACTCAACACCTGTAAGACTCGGAGCTTTGTCAAATGAGGAAGAAAACACAGATTTTAAAGATGTGGTTGTGTTGCCTTGTTTGGTAAACACCTTTAAAAATTCAACAAAAAAAATATATCACCAGTTTGAAGACACTCAGCAGTCCCACTGCTCTGCAGGCCACAACCCTCTAATCCTGACCAACACCATCCACTACACTGAAGGAAAACAACAGCGATCATGCAAGGTCTAGAACCAAACAGATTAAGGAAAAATCACTTCCCAATCAATTTTACCTGTCTTACTGCAGTGACATACTTCCAAGCCTCATCTTATCAAATAATGAAAACAGTGTTGTTTTTGCTTTTTGTCTGAACTTAAATGTAGGCTTAGAACATTGCAATATATAAAGCTCACATATACCAATGTCTAGAAGAGTGAACCACTTTGAATAGAGGATTTGGTTATCAATTCAAGCATGCAAGTTTTACTGTCTCATATGGCTCACATACCATTCATTTAGCATTGTCTTGCAATCAGCTTGGAAATCACAGGCCTACACACCAACCCCTCACATAACCATGGGATCTTCAACACCATTCTGCTTAAAATTCAAGTCCCTTTCATTAAAATAGAAGATATTTAGACATAAGATAAATAGAACATATAAGTTTGTATGTGGTCATCTTCAGTTCTAGAAACAAACTGAGTTTCTTCTCTCTTGTGCAACTGAAAGCTTAGTTTCCACAGCCCTGCACAGAGCAATATGGTTGTACTGCTCCCAAAGAAGCATCAACACAACAGGTATCAGCAGAGCTGCACAAGACTACTGAAATAAAAACGTGCTTAGCAGCTAGTGAAAATATATGTTCTTGTTTACAAGCAAGAATACTTCAATCATTTCACACACCTCCATTTGCAGGGCTTCGGCCAATCCTCGAAGAGCAAACTTGGTTGGAGAATAGGCTGTATAACCAAAAAGGCCCAACTGCCCAGCCTGAGATGATACAAACACAATCCTTCCCATCCGCCGTTCTTTCATGGTAGAGATCACTGCACGACTCGGGTAAACACTACCCAGATAATTGACTGCCATTAATCTCTGTAAAAAAGGATACTGAAATGGTATCTGAGTCACAGATTCAGAATTCTTCAGATGCTTAGTATTATTTCTCCAAAATCCCTACTGAGGCTTGCTTTAACATCAAACTCCACTAGATTTCTATTTCTATCAGCTAGCAAAGTAAACAATTGTTTTCTCCTGTATTAGTTTCATAAACCATTCTATAGCTAAGAATCTCACCATAAGATAAAAAAGGAAATGCACTGCATATACAAGTGTTAATGGCATTCAGGATACTGATAATGTGAATTACTATGGCCTTCACAAAGAAAAAAGGGCAAATTACAAAAAACTGACTTGAACAGTGTCTAGAAAGCAATGCATTTATACACAATGTACAAAAACATACTGAAATGAAAGTTTAAAGGGCTTCCTAAAAAAGAAGCAGAAAAAAAAAATCCTTGTACATATGCACAAGCTCTCATTGTAGATAAATAAGATTAATTTTTCTGTTTCATTCTCCTGAGGACCTGGAGTCTCCTCCTCTGGAGATGTTCAAGACCTGCCTGGATTGTGTGATCTGGTGTAGGGAACTTGCTTTGGCAGGGAGGTTGGACCTGATGATCTCTGGAAGACCCTTCCAACCCCTACAATTCTGTGATTCTGTGATCTAAAACACAACAGGTGGCCTGTACAAACAACAAAACAGATTATTTACACTTACTGTTACACTTACTATAATATTATGCCTATTTAGTATCAAGCCTAATTAGCATTTTCACGTGGCTCAGTGATGAGGTGGGAATCAAAGTAACCAAAAAGAAGAGAGGATGTTTTTGTTTTTTTAAATACACATTTTGGTTTGGGTTTTATTGTTGTTTTATTGTTTGTTTTTGTGTTGTTTTTTTTTTGTTTGTTTGTTTTTTGTTTCGTTTTGTTTTGTTTTTTCCTTCCCATCAAGCTGCGTAAAGTTACTAACAATTTGTGCACCTCAGAGTTGAATGCTGGCAAGATGGATTCCTCTTAAACAGATTCAAAATACGGGAAAAAAGACCCACACATCTTCACCAGGAAAAAAAGAGACCATATGAAATTCAGTGTCTTTCACAGTGTGTTAAATAAAAGCACACATCAACCTTCCTTGCCATCTTGAGGTCCTTCCCTATCCCAGGTGCAAAATTCACTGTTCTGAACTATCCATGGACCAATAATCAGGTAAAAAAAAAAAAAGTTGCAATCCTTGCAATTCTATAAATGCATACAAAAACCATTACTAATGAAATATATGGCTACTTATACAGTCTGGAAAGACACAGTAAAATAATCTATTCCTTATAACAGGGGAATGACTAATTACTTGCAATGAAATAAAGCATGATCACTCACTTCAAAAGAATTCACTTCAATATCCTCAAATTTTCCTGTAACTGATGTTCCTGCACAGTTAACAAGCAGGTCAACTGGCCCCAGCTTTTCCTGAGCCTGCAAGAGGACAGAAGTTAAGCTCTCTAGCAGGAAAAAGCATTCATATAGTACAGTGCCATTATAAGTTATGTTACCACTTGGAACACATCACACAGAAATGACATTTATATATATTTATATATACATTTATATATATATATATATATATACACACACACACACACACACACACACACACACACACACACACACACACAAGTAAAACAGTTGCCTCACCTGTTTTAGAACATTCTCCACCTGTTCATAGTCTTTAGATACATCAACAGAAATACACAGCACAACCTAAAAAAAGGAAAATGAAAGAAATTTTATAATTTAAGTCCAAGAATGGTTGGCCCCAAGCCTTACAAAAGAAACTGCACACTGCTTAATTAGGTCATATGAGGGACAAAATTAGAAAAATCAAGACAAAGAAGAACTGACTAGTGGCACAGTGCTACACATGCCTAAAACGTGATTTAACATTTACTCCTTGTCTGGGAACAAGAGATTATGGATTTTAGTTTGAACGACACAAGAAAAAGAAAATAGACACTGGCCCAGGGGAGGATATGTAAATAAACAACAAAAATTAAAAAAAGAGACAGCAATGTCTTAAGTTTTGTTGCAGCTGGAAGTTAGGTATTGCTTTTCTTTAAAACTGCTGGTTACATTTAGCAACATCATCTCAGAATCTAAGTTTTGGAGGCACTGTCCAGTCAACTTCCAGCCAAAGGAAGCACTGACTTTGTGGTATCACCAACTCTAAGATCACTGCCAACTCCAGCTTGGCCAGGGATTTACAAAGAGACTATCCTCTCTGCTAAACAATCAGCAACATTCAGGGGCAACTCAGTATCTTGAAATGAGAAGCAATCACATACCATAATAAAAGTAGAGACTGCTATATTCTCATCCCAATTTCTATGCCTTACTTTACTTTGTTCAATTCATTTAAAGCTGGTTTCAGGTGAAATAAAGTCATCGCCAGTTTCTAACGAGTGCCATCAGGGTCACTTGTCATGAAGCATGCCAACAAAAATGAAGAAAAGCTTACCAAAGTGTAACTAACTGCTTTGGCAGCCAGTCATTTGTCAGTTTTGCCTCTGGTCAGACTGCAACACTTCCCAGCTACATAAACAGAATCTGCTTGCCATTCCTGTGCAGCAGGTTGGCTATTCCTGCCTTCCAGCACTGTGCATAGCTGGACGTCGGAGTAAACTTGTGGTGCAAGTTATTGGTTGGCCAGCAAGCATCTCCCCTCAGGGCATTTGTAGATTTTAGAAATATTTATCTTTACCGTAAGTTTGAGAACAACAAACAGCTGAGCTAAGATAACACTGATTTACCATCTGGATGTCTTCACAAGATCAGCAAGGTTAAAAAAAAATAATCACAGTTCCATATGAAAATTGGACATTGGGCCACAGATCAGTTAATCATACTGTGAACAATACACTCAGGAACTAGAAATGCTTGTATTGGCTAACACCACATCATACAATTCATCTTTTTGCTTCTATTATTGTATTTCCTTTCTGCTACATTAAGTTGATTATCTCCAGTCCAGAGCATGCACTGTGAATGTGGTCCTAATAAACAGATTATGCTGCCAGGAAGTCCAATATCCTCATTCCAGTTCCTCACGTTTTGTTCTAATAGAGCATTGTCTGATCATTCCTGAAGCATTTATTTCTCAATAAAAGCTAAATTCCACTCCCAGCGAAGTAGCTAGGAATATTCCATACTAGGAAAGGGGTTTTTAAAAATTTCAAAAAAAAAAACTATGGGCAAGTATTTCATTCCACTGCACACCTTTATTTGTACAGGCTGCACTGTCAGCATTCTAAATAAATCACATATAAATGTCCTTCAGAGAAAACACGCCAAATCAAACACCTAAAGGTATGTAGACACCACAATCCTGGTTCTCAATGCTACTTAGTATTACATATACATGCGTGAGCAGAATGCATACAGCATATAATCAGGTAAAAACTGGTATTTCCTCTGGATTTTTGCTCCCTAGCTTGACATCTTGCAAATGTAACAGCCTCTGCAGTCTGCCAATCCATCCCAGACAACTCCATGCTTTCAGCAATCTTCTTGTACAGCCTCTGTCTGTTCAGCTGCCCTCATTTGTCAGCTTCTTATCTGCTGTTCCAGACATTCTGCTTTTTCTGTTTGTATTCTTTGAATTTAGCAGTCTTCCCTGTGACAATGACTACAACTCAACAATAGATACACGAGGGCACTCCCACTACAGCCAGTGGAAGTACAGACAAGTCTAAATTTGCTAGTGTTAAAACAATCCTGCTTAGCCCACACTGAAGCTTGTTCAGTCTTGAACTTAATGAAATTTTAACTGAGACTCTTGAAGGTATACCTAGTATTCTTCTTCAGAAAATTAAAGTGTAAGCCCACATCTGTCAAGCTTGGACAGATTTTTAACAAGAGCATTTTGACAGTGTTTGACAAAATTCACCACAACCCTGGGAAAAGACTAGAGCATGGAACCATAGAATGGCCTGGGTTGAAAAGGGCCACGATGATCATCTCGTTTCAGCCCCCCGCTATGTGCAGGGTTGCCAACCAAGCAGCTAAAGGAAAACTGTGACCGGGATTTATTTGTTTTAAAAGGGGACAAAACATTGCTCCTCCTCACCTCACATGACTTCATATTTCAAAATAAATTTGATCTGAGTAAGGCAACATGCACAGAAAGATCACCTTGAGCCATTTGACAGGAATGAGCAAAGACAGAATCAGAGTTTGCTTGATACCTTCATTTATATCAGCTAGTACTAGCATTATTGTACCACAGTACTATTGTATTATAGTACTAGCTCCCCAGTGTTCATCTTCCTCCTTTGCTTCTTTTCAAGAGAATATCAAACTTCCTAATTTACCAGACTAAACAAGTGACTTATTACATCCAATAGACACCAAATTCCTTATCACAAACAAATTGCTTGCATTTGTAACAATGAAAGTAAGAATCAGCTTCTGGAACACGAGAAAGAGGAAATCAAAGATGCAATGTTCTCAATGCTGTTTCCCTTTTCCTTTCAATTATGAGTATCAAGAAAAAAAAACATGGTAATATTTCATCTCGAAATTGTGCTTTTTCAACACAGAAAGCTGCCCCTACTTTAACAGCTAGTAGTCCAGCAAGCATTAATGCACTAAAACAGTGCATTAAGCATGAGTACACTATTTATTTACTAAGGTACCTTCAGTGTTCAGAAACCTCAGTGCTTTGCCAGGGAAACAGCAATACACAGCACAACATAGGGAACAAAATCTGAAAACAAGTACCTAAATATATTCCCCATTACAACTGCTGTATTTATGATCTCTTGAAGAGAGACTTGAAAAAAGTAAGTTATTCTCCTCAATCTTGAACAATACAAACACTTATCAAGTGACAGCAAACTGCAGCTATCAAAAAAATTCTATTACATCTACAGATGAAGATACCAATCTTTTTCTCTGAGAAAAAAAAAAAGTTAGTGTACTAACCAGGCAACGTCAAATGTAGCAGAGTTTGGAACATCACACGTAGACAGATTGGAATTGTTTGAATTCAAGTGAGGCCTCACCTATTTGTAATCAAACAGCTTGGTTTTAAAAAACAGACTACCAGAGCTATGCTGAAGTGACTATCTTGAAACACAACAGTTACAGGTAACAGCGATCTTACCTGCTTGTCATTAACAGAGTACTTTTCTATTTCCTTCTTTGTCTGTAACAGCTTGTTCTGAAATGGATAACAAGAACAGCTAAAGCAGCTCAGTTATGAGAACATATTAGTCTCCGGTATTTCAAGAAGCCCTAGAAACTTTCTCTAAAAACAAGAACATTATCATCAGCTAATGATAACACTTTTCTATAGTCATCTTAGAGATTTATGAACATACATTCAAAACATCAACTCCATGTGATAGCAACGGAAGAGTTTTAATGCAAGCCCATCACAAATCTTTTGTTTGGATACACTTCTCAAAAAGGCAGCCATCTCTACCCTGAAAATACATTCATTTAAATGATTAGGACCACCTTATAGCATACAGTGAAAAAAAGAACGAGTAATTATCAATTTCCAAATTATCCTCAGCCATACCAATTTCATTAATATAGTGTAGCCAGCAAAAATACAAATATGCTTACCTCATCTCTTGCAATCAGTGTTATGAAAGCACCTTGCTTATAACATTCAATAGCAATACATTTTCCAATTCCACTGGAGCCTCCAGTTACCTAGAAGTTATTTGAAAGTCAGTTAGTCCATTATTGTCATCCCTACTCCTATACCACAATAAAAATCAAATCAAAACTCTAATAGTGTACTGAGATTCAAATATTATCCAGTGAAGTATGAATACACAAGATATACAGAAGTTAGTTTTCTTACTGAGTATGAATGAAAAAACAAAATCTCACCACCCTGTCAGGCAACTCTTTCTGCCCCAAATATCAGCTTTACCTTGGTGGTATTTCTTCATGTTTCTTATGTCAGGCTCACTCAGACCACTCTCACTTGCCTTTGATTAACTTATTTTTAAAGTACAGTAACAGTTACAAGTTTGAAATCACTATTAAGAATGCAATTATATACTGCCCCTCCAAAAATTCATAAAGCGAGCAATCACACCCAGTCTGCCAAAAACATCATGTAAACAAACACAATTTTAAAAGTTATCTTCTTTTTTATTAAATAAACATCCTTGATTTGACAGCTGATCTGCTGTAGAGCACGTCTCACAGTTCACATCTGGATACTGAACTGCCTGTGCCATCCCTGAATGCCTTTCTGTGGGGATCCCAGTTTTAAGCCTCCACAAGCCTTTCTTTCTTCCTCTAAACCATAATTCTCAGTGGTCTTCCATGCAAGCAGGAAATAACCAGTTTGACTGCAGAAAACGCAAGGTGATGGCTACAGCCCCATACTAATAAACAGGTTAAAGTCACCTTATCACCCCCCTCACTGCCCTCCTGAAAAATCTATTTGCAAACTCCATTTAAAACAAAACACAGATGGTGACCCAACTGCTCTTCTTCACAAAGATAAAAGCCTCTGCCTGATATGACTTCCAGGTGATTTGTTCATTTAAACCCAGTGTCTGCACATGCCTTCGGTCCTTAAATACAGAGTTGTATTTTCCTTGCATGGCAAAATTTGTTGAATCTTCTTCTAAGAGCATATCACTGAGAAAATACCAGAATGCTTTATTGATGAAGTGAGTTCTGAAACACAGGCTTAAATATTTGAAAAAGAGATTCACATTCCTCTGGAAGTTGTTACTTCTGTTCTTTGTCAAGACTTCAGAGAAAGTAAGGTATCACCTCTATTTCAACTATGAGAAATGGAACATGCTGAGCCGATCAGTGGAAGAGCAAAGGCTCCCAGTCTCATCTGCACATGCCTCAGACTTACTACCTTCAAAATTCTTTCATATTCCTGGAGGCAGTAAAGCCAAAAGAGTTAGAAGTACGCTCCCATGAGTCACCGAACTCTTCTTTCTTATGAGTGTCTCATCACAAAACTTAAATAAAACAGCTCAGTACACCAAGGGTGATCATGTAACTTCAGAAAACTTATTTTCAACATAGTCTACAGTTTTTGTCTAATTTGTCTGCTGTAATGGGTCAAGAACTTACAAAGACTAACTTCAGCTTATACAGAGCTTCATAGACTTCTCTATTAGAGGAAGTCACTTCAAATCATCTTCTAATCGACTCTTCACTACACCAACCTTTGTGGGTGACTTCAAGATGCTTGTTCTGTTCTGCAGATCATAGAATGGCCTAGATTGAAAAGGACCACAAGGATCATCTCGTTTCAACCCCCCTGCTACCTGCAGGGTCTCCAATCATCAGACCAGGCTGCCCAGAGCCACATCCAGCCTGGCCTTGAATGCCTCCATGGATAGGGCATCCACAGCCTCCTTGGGCAACCTGTTCCAGTGCCTCACCACCCTCTGAGTGAAAAACTTCCTGCTGCATTCTGAGTAAAGGATGAGTGTTAATGTTTGGGGACTCCAGCAGAATCCCAGCATCATTTAATTCTTCACAAGAGAAGAGTTAATTTTTTTTATTCCCAAAGCATCTTTCAAGAATCCAATAAATCTCTAGAAGGATCAAGAGATTCAGTTTGATGTATTCAAGCAAACTTCAGTTCCACAGATGATCTTTTACAGATTTTCAGCAGCAGCTGATACATCAGCACAGGAACTAATGAACGCATGTGGAAGATTGCTCCAATTCTCACTTCTGGCACAGCACTGAGGCACAGCTGATTGCCACCTGTACAAATTGCTAAGTGTCATGAACTGGTCAACTACACCAGTGTTTGAGGAATTCTTTGAAGGTATATAGCCTCTGGCTTGTCAGACAACACTAACGTTCACTTCAGAAAGACGAGGTCTGAAGTCGAGCAAGAAAAGGAAGTTTTTATTTATAGACATACCCAAGAATGCTAGATAGGGGCTCATGTCAGATAGGTCAGTGACAAAAGGCAGAATCAGTTAGCTGGGAACTTCAGTGTTTAGGTGGAAGGCTGTTACTAACACGTTGGAGGTTGTTACTAACATGCACCATGAGGCGCAACGTAACAGTAAGGAAACAGAACAACTCAACGATCAATGAATAAGTGCAATTCCAAATCAACACAACTATCATCAGAAGCAGTCAAAATGAAGACCTGATATGCTCTTTCCAGCAGGGCTTGTTAGCTTTCACTTAGCAGAAGCACAGGATGCAAGCTGGCTTCGTGCTTCTAGACAGTGCTCTAACAGCAGGTATTTAGTTCCACTGAAACAGAACATCCCTGTAACCTGCTCCGATTGCCTGGTGTGCCTGACTGGACTCCAAATGACCTCCTGTTGAACCTCTTGATGCATCCAAGCCACAGGTCACAGTGCTCCCAGTGCAAGAGCTACAAAGCTGAGACACAGAGATGGGTCAACTCCTGAACACCCAGAGCCTGCTGCCGTTATCTGATGGGCTCTGCACAGAATTGCTGAAACTACTCCTAGTCCTGAGATGGCCCTTACACCTTTAGCTCAGGTATGCTGAAGCTCAACTAAGCCCAAATGAAAGGCTCTGCTCAAACTGAAAGGAAGACAATCACAAGCAGCAAACATCCTTACATTCCTGCCATAGTTAGCACACAAAAGCAAACATACATATAAAAGCATTTTGTTTTACTACATAGCAAAACCTGATGCTCGAATCAACCTGATAGCTGCAAAGTCCTTTCTATTTAACAGTGCCCTCTGAGGTTACCAAAACACACAGCAGATATGGAACAGAAAACCCCCCCCACAAGATGAGATCAGTAATTTGGAGTTCTGTGGAGTTCCATTCCTCACTAACTAGAAGAGACTCCTGTGGTCACGATCCCTCTCTAAAGCATACCTCATGTTACACAGCAAGCACTTCCATCACAGAAGTGACTCCAGGAGAGGACAAGAGGGAAAGAAACCCCAACAACAACAACAAAAAACAACCACACATTTTCTGCCTCAGATTCCTGTCCTCATAGCTTGAACACCTAGCTATATTAACCACTACAACTGTTAGGAGCACAGAGAAACAGCCTCTAAAAATGATTGACTGCGAAAAAAAAAGCTGATTTAAATTGAGATTTCAACAAGTAACTGCTAGGAAACAATATACACAACTGTGTCCAAACACATCCAACGACCTTCTTTAAGAAATACTACAGGTATTCTCTTGCACACGCAAAGGAGGAATTACATATACAGATCATATAAACGGATTTTGACCTCTTCTGTGAAAACACTTCAAGGAATTCTTGGAACAGTGCTGGAGTCCTGAGTATTTTCATTAAATCTTCTGATAATCTCAGTAGCAGAGAGCACTCACTCCTATTATATGATGCAAGAATTCACATTGCACATGTGATGTGTAAAGACTCCATGAGCACAGTTTCAAATTTACAGAACTATCATCCAGTATTTTTCCTTACACAATTCACCCAAACATTTGAAATCAAAACATGCAAGTTTAACAGCATCAGGGTTATTAGCAGCACCTCTATATCCAAAAACCAAAATTCTGAAACAACTGCTCCACATTTCATTTGTTTGCATGAATGTTTTCAGAGTATAACTGAAGCCAAAGTCAAACAAGTGCTTCTCCCAGCAGCAATGCCACTGAAGCTCATCACCCACAGATTTGTAAGGTTGTCAACAGTTTGCACAAAACCATGAGAAAGGTGATGCTGATAAATACCTACAGTCTTTCTTCTATTGGTGTATCAATACAGTTAATCCTCCAGAGGGTGGTGATGCACTGGAACAGGTTGCCTAAGGAGGTTGTGGATGCTCCATCCACGGAGGCATTCAAGGCCAGGCTGGATGTGGCTCTGGGCAGCCTGGTCTGCTGGTTGGCGACCCTGCATGTAGCAGGGGGTTGAAACTAGTTGGATCGCTGACATCCTTTTCAACCCAGGCCATTCTATAGTCCTATGAATAGTCATTTTGAGACCTTCACTTGTGTCAAATTCAGCTTACGTGGCTAATATAATTAGCAGTAGCTGTTGTGAGGGAAGGTTTCTCCCACGAGATTATTCTTTGTCGTTTTCTATGTGAGCCAACTGAAGTGGTTCTTCGAAAACAGAAGAACCAGCAGAGTAGCTTTGAAAAAAGCGTAATGACATAAAGAAAAGACAACATTTGGGATAATCAGGTTAAAAACAAACAAGTGAACAATATTCTGGAATGGAATACACCAAACACTTTATTGTTTATTATTCTATTTTCATGTGAGCATTGCAGAAGACCCTTATCCTGTTTCACCTTTGCTTTTACGCAGTACAGAAGGATTCCTGCTTAGCAAGCATTACTGCTGTGGGAAGAGACTCAAAGAGAGAGCCTTCACTCACGGTCTAATATCTCACGATGCTGTAAAGCCAGTTACAGTACCCAGCAATACCCACTGCACCAAGTAACTCAGGAACACTGTCGTAACTTGGACAGCTTGAAGCGGGGACAGCTCTACCTGCGAAGAGCAGTACTAAAACAAATAGGCAGACAAAAATGCAAACAAAAAAACAAGGCACCGCAGGGAGCTAAAATATATATATATATATATGTGTGTGTGTATATATATATCTCCCCAAAGCCGAGCAGCTGTCAATGCCTTCGCACCTCAAAGGTCTAACTGCTGCATTACCCCAAGCCCTGCTGTAAGGAGGGCGATCCGCAAGCAGATTCAACAAGCAAACAGCACAGCTGCTCTACGCAGAGCACACCCGGGCGAACTACAGCTAGTCCCGCCATCCGACTGAAGGAGCACCGCTGTCCCGACTCGCTCTCACGCACCCACGTGCCGCACCCGCAGGCCCCCGGCTGTCGCTCCCCATCCCGCAGCCGTCCAGCTTTCGGCGGTACGCACCTGGGGTACTGTTCAAACGCTACATTTTCCCTGATAACCCCCCCCTCAAAGGCTCGCTCCTACCACGCTGATTACAGACAAGCAAAACGTTGCTCGTGGACACGGATACCCGCGCTGCGTGCTGTCTGCCCGCTTCCCTTCGAGTCAGCCCGCCCGTTTCCTCGCCCCGGCTCTCCTTTCAGCCCGCGCCTTCCCCCTCCCGCGGAGGGCCGCGCTCCAGCACCCCGGCAGACGCAGCCGGGCCTTTGCCGGGACACGGCGGCCGCGGCCTCCCCGCTCCCTCATCCTGCCCAGCCGGACCGCTCCCCCGCGGTCGGTCGGCCAGCAGCGGCCGGGATCGGGGCGGGGAGAGGCATCGCTCGACTCACCACGACGTGCGCGCCGGGCAGCTTAAGGGGTTTGGGGCTGATGAGCGGCGACACCATGTAGAGGAGAAGGACGACGGCCACGATGAAGGCGGCCGCCAGGAGCAGCATGGCTCGGGCCGGGCTTGCCGCTGGGGAGGGGGGAGGGAGGTGGCGGGCGGTGACGCGGCCCCGGGGGCTGCGGGAGGCGCCGAGCGCGGCGCGGCCCGGCGCGGACAGCGGGAGCACAGCCGGTACCCGCCTGCGCCGCGGCGCCACGGGGCCAGGGAGGAGAAGGGAGGAGGAGGAGAACGCGGCCGCCACTCCGCGCCCTGATTGGCCTGTGGGCGGGGCGGGCGCGGCCTCGAGCGCGGGGATTGGCCAGTGAGCCAGGGGAAGGAACTCGCGGATTGGCCGAGGGGCGGGACGGCGCTCGGAGATTGGAGCCGCAGGCTGTTTGCGGGGTCACCGTTGGAGGCAAAGGGCGGTAGAGAAGAGAAAGTTCCTACGGAGACGATGGGGTGCGGGAGGGCGCCCCCTACGGTCCCCGCCTAGGGCGGGTGAGGCGAGGCGTGAGGTAGGCCCCGCCCCTTCTCGTCACGTGGGGCTTCCCGCCGAAAGGAGGGGGCGTGGCTCCGTGCGGAGAGGGCTGGCGGCTGCGGGTGGCATTCGCAGAGTGACAGAATCGCAGAATGGCCGGGGTTGGGAGGGACCTCAAGGATCAGGAGTCTCCAACCACCCTGCCACGTGCAGGGTCACCAACCTCCCCGTTTAATACTAGACCAGGCTGCCCAGGGCCCCATCCAGTCTGGCCTTGAAGACTGGCCTAGGAATGGGGCATCCACAACCTCTCTGGGCAGCCTGTTCCAGCACCTCTCCACTCTCATGGTAAAGAAGTAAAGGGCATTCGTGCTCTGATACCCGAGGGCAGCTCTTCATGGGGAAAAATATATACATATATATGTGTAAAAGCGTGGTTTCAAAGCATAATAAAGATAAATTAAAACAAAAACATCCTGGAGCTCAAATAAAATGATTCCATGCCTTTGACTTGGTATGTCTGCTTACGTTCAATATTTCCTTCGCTGTTTATGACTGAAAGGAACTCCCTGAAATGATTTACATTGCAAATGCTGTGCAGCCTCTGACCTGTAGAGAGGAGTTTGCAGCGTACACAGCGTTATGGCCTCGGAGAGATTAGGATCAGACAAAAGCACTGGGCAAGAGGGCGTGCGGAAGGGTGTGAAGATAATGCAGGAGATGAGATTGGAGCGAGGAGTAGGCGGAAATGGGAGCAGGGCTGCAGGCAGGGATTAGGCAGCCGTCAAAGGGAGAGCAAAGAATCTGTAACAAAAGAATCCAGAAATTAGTTCTGGAATGGGATTGAGTCGGGATCGGACTTTGGTGACACTTTGACTGTGGTGCTGCGGGGTGAAGGTGTGAGGACATGAGAAGAAAGTGTGCGTGCTGAGCTAACAGCTGCCACAGCACGAACAGGGAGAGAGCTGACAAGTGGCGTGTCCAAGGAAAGGCAGTGTGGAATCACAGGCATCCTTAAGGTTGGAAGAGGCCACCAAGTCCAACCAGCAGAAGTTGGTGCAGGATGTGGACTAAAAATGCAGCAAGCAGAGACATCGACTTCATTCTTTACATACAGGGTGGTGTATGTGTTATCTTTTGTAGAATATTAATTAAACACAAAAGAGGAGATTGATAATGTAATAGAGCCTATTTATAGATATCTACTGCAGAATATGGCAAAGCTTGAAAAGCTCAAATGTCAGCAGCATGGAGATAAAGCAGACAGAGATAAATCCGTCTTTCACAATGCAGTATCGCTCTCAGAATCAACATGGGGCGAGGGCATGGATGAAAACAATCATCTGCGGCTAATGTCTAGTAAAATGAAGGTTAAACACGTTGGTAGGGGGCCTTTAAAAACCTCAAACGCTTGATATGCTCCTGATTGGTCACGGTTACGATCACATATTACTAAACATTTGAAAAGCCCTTGCCGATTAATGAGGAATCCCCTCGGTAAATTGTATGGAGAAATCTGTACTGCCTTTTCCTTTTGGCTAAGTGGCCACTTTACAGCCTTGTGATTGACAATCCAGGTAGCGTCCGCTCTGGTTTTGTTCCTAGGGCAGTGAAGTGTCATGAATTTATCTCTGAGAAAAAACATTCAAAAGTGAAGACCCTGCGAACTGATTACAACTCAGCAAAGTATTGCCACAGCAGTAGGTTTTGATTCCTTTAAAGTATGCCGGCAGGCACTGAAGTTTGCCCTCCTGAGCTGTTTGCTGTTTGATTTGTATTTGTCTCATGTGATCTCATCCACTAAGGAAGTGCATTCCTGACACACGGGAATGGTTTGCTATGAAACTGTTTTCTCGGTGACTGTGGAACTGGAAATTGAACACTGAAAAAAATGTTGAAGCTCTCCAGTCCAAACTTTGGTTGTATGTAAAGCAGTATTTAATTAATCTGACCTTGACAAAACAACATCAAAAAGTGTAATTTTGAAGCACAAACTGACCAAGGTACGTATGTCCTTAGGGATGGGTAAGTAAACAGAAAGGTTAAAACATGTTAATTGCTTTGCTAATTAATCCTTAGAAGAAGCATCAACACAACAGTGATGTGTTTAGAGAAGAAAATCAAATACAAGTAGATTAAAATGTCCCAACGATAGGACCAGCTGTGGTTTTCTGCTTCCTCAATTGTTCATTTAAATCTTTCAACAGACGTTTGCAATAACAATATTGTGGGTTGAGATAACTCAGTATGAACAAAGCGCGGAACCAAATTATGAAAGTAGTCATTTAAACACGGAAACAAATGTATGAATTGGTAATACTGCAACGCAAGTGACTGATATTAGAGGTGTCCTTTTGATCTTCTTGAAAGGTAATTGTTCCCAAAGCATACAAGGTACACACAAAAGAGATGCAGGCTGTTTTAGGAGAAGGCATAAAGCCATTAAGAGAAGGCATAAAGCTTTAGCAGAGCAGATAGCGAGGCTGCAGCCTGGACAGACTTTCTTATTGTGCTTGAGTACTCATCTGCTGGATTTTCTGGTTGTGTCATATTCACCTTAGGGAGAGAGGAGGGAAGAGGATGCGTAGGCTACGCAGTGATTAAAAAAAAATCTGGAGACTTCTTCGTGTGATTTCCATTCAGTCAGTCCTTCTACTTTTACAGAAAGCAGCAGGAAGGAAAAACTTCAATAGCCAAGGAGAACAACTTTTTCCTTCTGTTTTTCTGAATTATTTTCTTCTCCAACCTTCCCCCTTTTATGTAGCAAGCATAGGTGTTCTATGTTCATTTCTTAAGAGGTCTGTTGCAGTAATCATTATAAGACATGAAAGGCATGTTGGCAGTTCTTGGATTCCTGCAAAGCTTCAAGCTTTAGGATAATGGCAGTCTAGGTGAGTGGTTCCTGGTCAACAAGCTGTCTTGATCCCCTGTGTCCCAGATGAGAAGAGCTAGTAGGGACATAAGAACTGAAATCAGAAAGGGATTTACATAACATGCTGGCAGTAGAGGAGAATTGGGAAAGAAATAATGATCTGCACATGGTAGTGACTAAAGCAGCGTGACTGAAATACTTATCACACCCAGCTGCCTGCTTGCTGTTCTTCCCCAAACAAACAAGCAAACCCCCTGTAGCTGAACAATAGCTTCTTTACTAGTCCCTTGTGCTGGAGAGATCATCAGCTACCCCATGTATAGCAGGGTGAAACAGCTCCCAGAGCACTGTGCAGGTCAAAATACCACATGTACTCTGTCTGCTCGAGCGCTATCGCAGTGATCTTCTGGGTATTCCTAGAAGGAGATTTCCTGCACTCCCGAGCTCAGCATATCCTCCAGAAACGCTCGCCTGCAGCAGGGACGGGTTCTGGCGATCTCTGCAGCTTCCAGCTATGCCGCATGCCCTTATCGCGATGAACTCAGGCTGGGCTGATGGCCCAGGTGCTGGAGGCTGCCAGCACGCAGGCAGGGGTGGTTGTAGCAGCTCAGTTCAGATCAAACCGAGGCTGCTTGCTGGGGCAGAGAAGGCTGACTGTGGTGCAAAAGCAGGTAGTACATACATACATAGCCCAGCTACCAGCCAAGAGTCCCAAGGCTGCTGCAGTAGTTTTGCAATGAGCACGCAGGAAACAAGAAGATCACTGAAAACACTGCTGAAATCAGATTTTTGTCTTCACACAGGTCAAGCTGATTTAACTGTTTAATGTAATTGCTGTAGTTATTTGGAAAAAAATAAATAAATAAATAAAACCACATCCAAAATGAACTATTCATAACTGGTGGCCCATTACGTGTCACAACTGATTTTGCCGTGAATAAATAACCGTTCACAAATCAAACAACATATTTTTTGAAATAAAAATATTTTACTCAAACCAGTGGTAAAAGGAAGTCTTTGCTGTCTAATTTAAATAGATATAAGTTAAACTTGGGACCAAGAGGATCTTGGATTTCATTTAGTACCCACAGTTCTTTTTATGTGGTACATCTGCTTACACTAACCATCACTCTGGAGCAGCTTGCTCTTCGCTCTCAGATGTCAGAACTGCTATAGATTTACAATAGCCTTGAGGGTGCTGTAGGTTGGAAGGCTGAGGCCTCCCTCTCCTCAAGTGCCATGGAAAACACCCTCAAGTGAGCATGACTGAAAGCGGGCAGGATGAGGGAATGGGCTGCCATTTCCTTTGCACTGGAATGATCAGTGCTAAAACTTGTAAATATCTGTTAGAAACAAACAGGGATGTCCACTTCGTCTTGTGATGCAAGAACACCCATTCTAAATTTTCGTCTCCTGAAAAGTTGTATTGAAGCTGATGTTTACCATGGAAGTTCATGTTACAGGATAACCTTTGATACTAGGGATAACAAGTCCTCCTCTTTGATGAAGTGAAGCTACAATCACAAAGCATGCACTTGTCTGACCCTTTGCCTGGCTGCCTGTCCAACCATGTTGCACCATTGCACCCAGCCCCAGGAGATCTGCTCCAGGGCCAGGGAGTGGAACTCTTACGGGAAAATGCTTCATACAAGAATGTTGTGCTTGTGAGTTGGAAAATGTAGTTCCACCAAAACCTCCTCCGATGCAATGAATGTATTTTTCTCTGCTACTTACTGCACTTTGAATGATAATTAAGAGTACGTTTTGATTTCTAATGAAACTATTTTTTCTTCTAATAGTAGGCACGCTCCAGTCCTTATTCCAGAAAGCTTACTCCTTGAATTTTGAAGGTCTTATCCTGAAACTGGGATGCAGAGCCATTCTGAAAATGACAGTATTTTAAGACTTTTCTGAACTTACTCTGGCATTCCACATACCTTCCTCCTGCAACCTTCCACCTCCCAGCACTGCAGTACAGCCTTTCCTCCTCTGCCAGAAAACCCGATACCACAGCCTTATCCCACACCTCCCACCTCATGGCAGCTGCCCTCTTTCCCAGGCCCTCTATGGAGGAGCAGAACTGCTGAGTGCACAAGGCAAAGATCTGCTGTTCCGAGAAAGCAGAGAAGGGCTGCTCAGGAATCACCGCACTGCCCCAGCACTATTATATTTTGCCTTTATTCAGAGGCAGTCCTTCACCTGTAAGTAGCATTACTACCTTACTGAATATGCGTTTTCAGGAATATTTTCACTTTTTAGCCAGATAGGGAGCATTTTTTGTAATTACACTTCCAGCAACTTACGGCCAATTACTGTTTCTCCTTCTGATTCCTGTCCAGCAATGTGGTTGCAGTTATCGTTTCTCCAGAGCAGGCAAAATTTCTTGCTTTAGGAAATGTACACCTCGAGGTAATCTTTGAAGACTGATAGGTTCTAGAGTTCACAAGTTTGATCTGCTCTGGGATTAAGCTACCTGTTAAACCACCACACATCATCCAGTCAAGCCATTTCTATTATGTGCGTATGACTGATTCTTATCACAAAAGATCAAGTTAATGATTTGCAGTCTTCGGCAAGCCTCTGGTTTCTTTGAACTTGCTTTTTGTAAGCGATATTCTCAGGTAGCTTCAGTGCTTGTGAAGCTACTGCAATACTCTGGAGATTTTCTTTGTGCTTCTGGCTGTCAGAGTTGTCGACCTGCTTGGCCAACCCCACAGCACAGGGAGATCTGTACTCTTCCATTGCCCTGTACCTGCACTTGTAAAAATACTAGAGGAACTGAAACTACTTCTAGGTCATGCCACATTGTTTTTCAAAGCAATTCTAAGAACTTCGCTCAATCTTTTCACCAGAGTTAAATCTGTTTCCAGTTGCAGGTAACGCATTTATCATACACAGCACTGGCAAGAGACTGCTGTTTATTTCTTGGATGCAATTCCACAGCATGTGCCCTTGTTATCAGTCCCTGATACATTGTCTTTGGCATTTACTGCAAAGAAGCCGCTGTTATCCAATGGAAATTTAGATCTCTTGCTTAGCTTACTTCTCCTCTAACCCAAGAAATGAGTACAATATAGCCTGCTGAATGCAAGGAAACCTGCACCTGCAAACTTTTCTCCCCACTATGTTACTACCAAATACATCAGATTTGCTTGCACTTCTTAAGTCTGTTTCCATCCTCTAATGGCATGAACCATTGTCCTCCTGTTGTCAGCCTGCAAAGAGGCCAGCGTGTACAGATTTGCCCTGTAGGATTGAATGGAAAAAGGGAAAAATCAGAGAAACCACCAGCTTTTGTTCTACTGCTTGTAAGCTTGCTTTGGTAGAAAAGTTGAAGAAATAGGAACATGCTTTGAAATGGGATTTTAAAGGAATCAGCTTTTTATCTTCCCTTTGGGAAAAAATAGTGTGAAGGACAGAATAAATCAGACAAAAAAAAGAAACTGACATGAGAGAACTGGTTGGGCAGAAAGAAGGAGGTGGAAAATACCCAAAAGCAGCAGGAAAGAGGGAGACACAGATTGCCAATTAACGCTTCGATCAAAGGAAAAGCCCGATCAAAACCTTTTTCCTCCTTTAAGAAACATCACCCCTTTTTACTATATACTGCAATCAAGTGAGCGTGCCTTAGACTAAGACTCAAGAGAATAATCCCAATACCAGTAAAGCCTGCAGAAATCTTTTTTTTTTGTTTCCACAGCTGACACCCCAGGCAAAATAAATAAATAAATGAATAGTGGTGCAGAACATCAGCGCCGTGGCAGTCATTCCAGCAGTCACTCTTCCTCTGCGCCAGCTATAGGAGTGCTACAACACAGACCAGCATCTCCCAACCTGTGCACTTCTTCATGGACAGATTTGCATCACACAGACCCTCAGATTGCCCAGAAAAAACAAAACTGCTATGCCCAGAAACAGCATGGAATCTCTCAGAAGTTAGCTGCCTGCTGGACATAGCCCAGCTACACCTGGAACAAGCAGGCACCTCTCTGTGCTGCTAATGCTGGATGAAGAGAGCTGTGCAGCAGCTCCTCCCTGAATACTGGCTAGGTTGTGACACCAGCCCTGTGGTTCCTGTGGCAGCTCCTGCAGTTCTGCAACTACATGAGCCTGGCTGGCAGGCCACCTGTTTGTTTCCGTATCAGCAGCGGCCACACGCACCGTGGGCAGAAGGCCTCCAGGCGGGTTAAAAAAACCAAGCAAAAACATTTCTTAATTACAGAGGCAGAGCAAGGCTGGATATGAACAAACAAAACCATACCAAAACACGCACACGTGTAAAGAGGGGGGAAAAAAAAATCACAGCTTTGCAGTTTATGTTCAGAGCAAATCAAGGCTGTGATTAATTCATTACACATCAGAACTCCAAGCCACTGCAACTGGCATTATGAATGGCACGCTTGAAAATCAGCCAGGTAGGTTTCCAGATTTACAGAATAGAATAATAGAAGGGCCTGGGTTGAAAAGAACCACAACGATCATCTGATTTCAACCCCCCTCCTATGTGCAGGGTCACCAGCCAAACAGACCAGCCTGGCCTTGAATGCCCCCAGGGATGGGGCATCCACAGCCTCCTTGGGCAACCTGTTTCAAGATGTCAGACCCTCTAACATCTTACCACAACATAATAATGAAAAAATATTTAAAAAATCTTTGACAGGCAGGAACTTCCTGGCTGCAGCCCATGCTCCAGCCTTCAGGTGGTAGAGGGAAATGATCATTTTTAGTTGGAATTTTCATTTTTTCCCCTAGCTATTAAGTAGGCAGATAATTCACTTGTCTCTTCCAGAGCTTAAATCACTGCTGTAAGTTTCCATTTGCCATTTTTATTTCCTCTGTGAGATGGTGGTATTTATAGCAACTTTCTCGGTCCCTTACTTGGTTGACTCGTGATTGCTAGGGTTCTTGCAACCTCATTACCAGAACAGCAGCAATAGACAACTGCTCCAGCACCGCTTTTTGTAACCCATTACCTGTAGACACTCATCTGCCTACAGTAGTATGAGTCAGTGGAAATTACTGTTTATAGTTTACAGACCACATGTGACATTGAGCATGTTTGAAAGCAAAGTCCCTGCCTTGAATAGCTGAGATTTAAATTAGCTGAGGCAGCAGAGGACGAGGGAGGGCAAGCAAAAGCAGGTCTTGCCAATCCATGGCACGGTGCCTCATGATAGGTCACCAAGCAGGAAAGAAAACCCAACCCCATCTTCATTATCAACATCAGGCCTATGCTCAGGTGCCCATGACTTATTTCCTGGAGAAGTCTCAAAACATGACCAACACCTGTTTGGACTAATATGAGAGAGCTTAGTGCCTGCTATGATGCAGGTAGGATATTGATATTTATTTTCATGACTAGTGCCTGAGACATCCAAATAAATTAGCTGTAAAATGTCTAGTATCCCTGCAAAAGAACGTAGCAGATTCTGCACGTGGCAGGTACCCTGCACAGACAGCGCCAGCGGATGGATGCTGGCTTCCTCACATTGAGCTGCTGTGGAGTTGCTCTGAGGAAGGGGAGAAGCATTTGTGAGCATTCATTCATGGAGCTGGAGTCACCTATGCAGGGTAACAAATGCAAAGGTGGGAGTGTTCAAGTGACATAGGCAGGCCTGAGCAGGTGAACCTCATGAAGTCCAGCAGACCCAAATGCAAGATCTGGCACCTGGGTTGAGGCAGCCTCCCACTACCATTAGAAGCTGGGGCACAGAAGGACTGAGTGCAGCCCTTGCTGAAAAAGACCTGGAGATACTGGTGGATGGGAAGCTGGACATGAGCCAGCAACGTGCCCTCACAGCCCAGAAAGCCAACCATGTCCTGGGCTGCACCAAAAGAAGTGTGGCCATCACAGCGAGGGAGGTGCTCCTGCCCCTCTGCTCTGTGATGGTGAGGCCTCACGTGCAGTACTGCATCCAGATGCGGAGTCCTCAGTACAGGAGAGACGTTGATCTGTTGGAGTGTGTCCAGAGGAGGGCCACAGAAACGATCCATGGAATGGAACAGCTCTCCTAGGAGGACAGGTTGAGAGAGCTGGGGCTGTTCAGCCTGGAGAGGAGAAGGCTGTGAGGTGACCTGATAGCAACCTTGCAGTATCTAAACAGGAGCTACAGGAAAGAAGGGGACAGACTTTTTCGCAGGGTCTGGTGTGAAAGGAGAAGGGAAACGGTTTCAAGCTCAAAGAAGGAAGATTTAGGTTGGATATAAGGATAAATTTTTTTTACAGTGAGGGTGATGAGGCACTGAAACCCACTACTGTGGTTGAAGCCCCCATCCTGAGACTTCAAGGCGGAGCTGGATCAGGCCTTGGGCAACCTGATCTAGCTGGGGTGTCCCTGTGCACTGCAGGGCAGTTGGACTAGATGACCATCAGAGGTCCCTTCCAACTTCAAGGATTCTGTGATACGAGTAAACAGAAAATGTACAAAACAGTGACCTAGTCAAAAATTGACTATCAGAAGGGCGTGTGGGTAGAGGTAGGCAGGCAAAACTGTAATTAGGTCAAAGAAAAATAACAGCACAAGCTTATCTGATACCTGGGCTGTCAGTACACAAATGCCAGGACAGAGGATGAACAGGAACAATTAAGAATTTTTACACAGGTAATTATGACGACAGAGGGTTTGTGAAATAATAATGGAAATATTATTAATAAAAAGGTATTTTAAAAGAAAAATTAAGGTGAACATAGACTACCTGCCCAAGAATAAAAGGAGCAATGTTTAGATAATAATAAAGTATCTATTGGAAAAGCAGCACAACTGGAAGCAAACTGCCCATCAAGTGCTTGCAATAATTTATTTAAGTTGTGTGAATGGCTCTAAGTCAGCTGTGATTACTAGGATGAATCTGGTTAAGACAAACACGTTCGGAAGCCAACCAAGAAACCACAGCCATCATTCTGAAGGAAGGAAGGAGTATGCAGCAAAATCAAGGTGTTCCTGAGTATTTCAACAATTCAGAGCCATTAAAAAGCTTCCTGTCATGATAATCTTCAGAAAATAATGTGAAAAAATACATAGTGGAGCAGATTTTCATTAGGAAGAAGACTAAATAAACACAAAAAGTAGATCAAACAGGGGCTAAACAGAGAGTATTTAAGCAGTTTCTTTACTTCAGCTGCCAAAGAGCAAACTATGATCAGGCATATCTTACTGATAGGAGCACACGCAAAAGCTGATTTAAGGGTATCTGCCCAAACAATGTGTTCTGCTCCACTCCTTGTATCAAAAGCAATCAACTCACCTCTGAAGAATAGCAGTTGAATAATAATAATAAAATCAAAACCAATCAAACCTTACCAGTTTCTAAGACAGACAAAACCAACGCTTAAATCGGGGAAGGAGCAAACTCTGGATTCAGAGGTTAATCATGGGCCATGGGAAAAGATACAACCAGAGAATTTAATGAGTTTTTCTAACTCAATGAATATATGTGTTGAGATACGTAACGAGTGACAGAAAATCCAGTGTTAGTCAATGGGAAGAAACATCTGTGG